GGAAATAGTTCCTACCTGAAATAGTTTAACCATAAGCAAGATGCAAAGTACAACTTTATTTATATGAAATAAGGATCTAGGCCCTATATAGATTTTTATCTAAAATAACCTAGCAAACCAAGGGTTGTAATAGTGATTTCATATGAAAATTATTCCTACCTAATTAGTTTAACTATAGGGCAATATGAAAAGCTCAATTATAGCTAAATATAATGTGGACCTTAGCCCACTAAGGTATTTTTCTCACGAAGAAACCTCGAATCAACAAGTTACAGACTAGACGGTGGTTGATCGGTTTGAAATAGTGGGAGAATTTTTAAATAAAATTTCTAATTAATTACTTAATTCTTGATAAGAACTATTTTGCAAATCAAATGTAGATGACCGGTAACAATCACAACCTCACCTCATTTCAATCCTAGACAAAGATAAGTTGACCGGGTCTAACTTTTTGGACTGCAATGCAACCTCACTATTGTTATTTGTCTTGAGAGGAAAGAATAAGTGCTTGAAAGAGCCATTCCACCTCAACCTGCCACCAATGCTTCTAGAGCAGTTAGAGAAGCATATGGCAAGCACGTTGATGTTAACACTAAAGTGGCTTGTCTAAGGCTAGCTACTATGACATCTAAACTTTAGAAGCATTATGACAGCATGAAGGTGTACGGTATGATCCTACACCCGAGGCAGCTCTACCAAGGGCAAGCTAGGCATGGGAAATTCTAAATCACTAAGGCACTCTTCATGTCAAGTATGCTTAAGTTTGGAGTTTCTAAGTGATGAGCTCTCGAAAAGAAGATGCACCTTATTGGTATGAATAGTACTATCAATCCTTTTTGAGCTCTTCCCATTCCCATCTAAATATGGGGTATTACACTTCTCATCTCCGTAGGCATAAAAAACACTCGACCCATACATCTTTTATGTGATAATCAAGCGGCTCCAGGTGTTCCATGAACACACCAAACATATTGAAATCGAATGCCACTTTGTTCTTAATGAAATTCAAAAGGACGCACTTGCCTTTACATATGTTTCCACCATTGCTCAATTCACCGACATCTTGACTAAAGCACTGGTCCAACTCAGTTATTGGCCTTATTGCCCAAGCTCGGAATGAGGAATCCCCACGCTCCGGCTTGAGGGCGGTACGGTGTTGACGCAGCCTAGGCTGAAATCCCTAGGAGTCACAATGTTGAAAGGACTCTTTCTTTAATGTTTTGTCTCTTGATCTCTCTTATCCTATTTAAGCATGTTTTCCTCCATTGTAAACAAAAAAGAGAGAGAAAAAAAATAATAAAGTACGTAATAGTTTCTCCATTACTTCTACTATCATTTTAATTAAAAAAATTGTGTTACAAAAAAAATAATATTTTGTGATCTTTTTATTTGTGATGGTTGTGACTACAATATTTTCCAATTAAAAGGGTACGCCCGCGAGCCTTTCCATACATTTCACATTTCTTACAACAATTTCCTACCAAAGTAAAACACAAAAACATTTCAACTGTGTTGGGGAGGCTCCTCGGTCCATCCAATGAGGAGGAGGAACTAACTAAAATTTTTAATTAAATTTATTGTGCCAACTTTGCCAATTCAATGATGATCAAAACCGTCCAAAGGACAAGACAATTTGAGGTCCCCAAACTAAACTAAATGGTGAGACAAGTTACATGAGTTCTGAAAGGCTGCAAAGTCTCTGCATTGCAGAGAGTATGATTTCAGATTTGAAAACCCAAGTACACTGTCCTTGCCATTTAACCACTCATTTTAGGGAAAATAAATCCTACGGGCTTTTACAAATATGTAGACACATCCTTAGGATCTCATACATATGTCATACATGCATCTTCAGCTTTAATTTTCAAAAAATTGACGTTGGGTACTCCAAGTTTTATAATAACAATTTCTCGATCTCATCGTCTTTCAGAATATACTCCTAAGTACCTTAAAATATCTTAAAACTAACTCTGGATGACTTTCTATCCATCCTTCCGTCATACTCACTTGCTCCGTTATGTTTTCATCTCCTTTTTCCCAAAAGTTGCTGGGTATCCCCAATTTTGTGGTAAGAACTCCCGGGTCCCATCGTTTTTTAAAATATACTCTGCCCTACCCTCAAATATCTAAAAACTTACTATATATGATGGAACTTTCCTTTTTTTCATTGTATTATTATTATTATTATTATTATTATTATTATTATTATTATTATTATTATCATCATCATCATCATCATCATCATCATCACCATCACCATCACCATCACCATCACCATCACCATCACCATCACCATCACCATCACCATCACCATCACCATCACCATCACCATCACCATCACCATCATCATCATCATCATCATC